TTTTCCATGGCAAAGTGAGGCAGGGTTGCCTCAGTTCTCTGGCCAGTAGATGTTGCCATCACCGTACAGTAAAATCCTGGGCACCCTTTCTCTATGAGATTAGGTCCTGAGGCGTGGGCCACTTGCACTTATGTGACCCTCGCTTCTTTCATTGTTGCCCATCACAGCTCCTTAGAGAGGAGATGGAGTTAAACTTACAGCTATGCAGTGCCATCGTCCAGCTCAGAACCTCCCAAAGTGATTCACAGCAAATTGAGCACTTTTGAAGTGAGGCCACTGTCAGAATGTTAGAAATGCAGCAGCCAAATTGCGCACAGCAAGCTCCCACCAAACAGTAGTGAGGTAACTGAATGGGTCACCGCTGAATGATGAGTCGGTGTTGCCCTGGTCACAGACACACATGCGCGCGTACACAGCCACACAGACTCAAATAAAGAAAACATTTAACAGGCAGGGTTATGGGACTAAGTGGATGGCTGTCTCCTCGAACCGGCACTAAATTGATGGATTTAATTGCCACTTTGCAACATGAGTCCATTACAGCCTGATTTTCCATGTTCGGGCATGTCTCTTCGTATTATGTGGCAGATGCATATAATGTCGCTGCTCAGTTAACAGCAGATGCTGTGAAAACTGCTTCATGTCACAGATGACAGTGATTTAGTGGTGTCACACATTTGGATTGCTGCATGACAAAACATTATGGAGAATACCGAGTCATTATGTTGTGGTGTTGAACTGAAAGGCACATGTCTATGGAACGACTACTCAATTGTTGTTGTTGAGGGGTGGATTTAGACTCTTAATCTGCTCACCTGCTGCTTATGGCTGCATTTCTTCAGGCAATTCCCAAGTTTACTGGGCTAGACTGTAGTCTCAGGAGTTTCCCATTGCTTGCCAACTATGTCAGAGCCCTGATTCAATCATTTGCTTCATCCAGGTGTGAGCATGACTTCATTTCTGAAATCCTTTGAGGTGTGGGGATGAATTGTGTTTGATGTCTTTTTTTAAATTGCAGCATTTAAAACAATGGCTGCCAGCTAGGGAGGAGACAACAAAAGGATATTTAAGGCTTTGGCCATTTCATTTGTTTTTGAGGAGAAGGCATGGGCCATAAATTCATCAAACATCTTTGTTAAACCTTGAGATAACAAGGTGTAGAGCTGGATGAACACAGCAGGCCAAGCAGCATCAGAGGAGCAGGAAGGCTGACGTTTCGGGCCTAGACCCTTCTTCAGAAATTTCTGAAAGCTCTACACCTTGTTATCTCAGATTCTCCAGCATTTGCAGTTCCTACTATCTTTGTTAAGCCTTGTTAGCTTAATGGGCTTGATTCTTAAAAAAAAGGTGGAGTTGTAAAAACTTGGCATGCTCACTTTGTTTTCTGAATGGTCTTCAGATAGGACTGTTGGCACCTTCTGTAGTGCCTCACATCTTTTACACACTGGCATCTCGTGTCCACATGTGGGCAGCATCCGAACCAGGCTAAATGTCCACAACTTTTGTATACACCTGGTACCTTTTCAAACACGGCCTGGCCATTCCTGAGGTGTCAAAACTGTTCCAGATACTGCAGCAAGCCTTGTTAGTACCCAGTTTCTTCTCACGTTCTGAGGAAGGGTCACTCAACCCGAAACGTTAACTCTGGTTTTCTCTCCACAGATACTGCCAGACCTGCTGAGCTTTTCCAGCGATTTCTGTTTTTGTTGCTTGTCTCGTTTGGTGCTTTGTGGTCAGTGTCACATTGGCTGTTCTGTAAGGTCAATAACACTGTGCATTGCAGAAGGTTGTCCCTATTTAGATTGCAAAGCCTGAATGCTATTTGAGTGCTTTCTAGCTGGTGCATTCATCTATCAGTTGAGTGACTGCAGACAATCATTCCTTGATATTTTATACCCTAGACAGTTTTGTTTTAATTTTCTCTGATGATGAGACAGGAAATTGTACTAGATGTATGATTTAATACATGTCACAGGTTATAGTTCTGGCAGAATTTGGAAATATAACATCTGAAGTGTGATCGAAACAGAACTTTCTACTCAATACAACTGGAGTTGAAAAGCTCTGGGGCAGCATTGACCTTGCATTTGGCAGCAATGCAGAAGAAGGGGAGATGTTAGGTTTTTCAATACCACAAAGATTTTTCAGAATTAATGGGGGGTGTAGGGTGGGGTGCGGGGTGGGGGGGGGGGGGGGGGGGCGGGGGGGGGAGGTGAGTGCGGTGGGGAGAGCATGTGGAATTAGTGTTTGGCTAAAGTGAGTGGAAAGTAAAACCTTATTATCATATCTGCAGAAATGGGAGTTACTTCCTCAATTAGCAGAATTTGCTTCCCTTTCATAGCACTGGTGGCACGTTCTGCTAAGAATAACTTTGAGGGCCACACCTTGTTCCTGTGTATTTGTTGGACTATAATGATCTGAGGGGGGAAGATTCAAAGCTTTTGTTGTTGTATGTCTTTAAAAGGAGGACTCCTGTTAATGGGGTGATGCTTTTGGTTAACTAGCTCATTATTAGCAATGTTCAGCAGTGGCACAGTCCTGATTTTCCCTCAGATTTCTGTGCGGTCAAATTTTCAGCCTAGTAACCCAGTTTAGTATCTTAATTATGGAGCTATGTGAGTCTAAGATTCAAAAGTCCCAGAAGTGACTTCCTGCATCGGAGGGAGGGGGGGAAGGGGTAAAAGAACAATAATATTCGGAACTGAATGCACTGCCCATATTGGTCCTTCATTTTCAAATTTACAGGTCAAGTTGGGCCATAAGTCTCACTTATAGTTTGACTGTTCTTCCTCCAGTGATTTTTTTCTTGAGTGACAACCCCTTCCTCTGCTCTTGTCACACAGACCCAACTACAGATATCTGTAGTTCTCCATAGAGTCATAGAGTAATACGGAATGGAAACGGGCCTTTCGGCCCAAACTGGGAAAAGCTGACCATAGCGCCCACTCAGTTCCAATAGCCCGCACTTGGTCCATATCCCTCTCAACCCTTCCCATCCATGTACCTATCCAAATGTTTTTTTAAATGTTAGTATTGTACCTGCCTCAACCGCTTTCTCTGGTAGCCCATTCCATATATGCACCACTCTCTGCATGAAGAAGTTGTCCCTCAGGTCCTTTTTAAATCTTCCCTCGCTCACCTTAAAACCATGTTCTCTCGTTTTCAATTCCCCATCCTCTGGAAAAAGACGAATTACATTCATCCTATCTATGCCCCTCATGATTTTATACACCTCAGTAAGGTCACCCCTCATTCTCCTACGTTCCAAGGAATAAAGTCCTATCCTGGCCAACCTCTCCCTATAACTCGGGCCTACTAGTCCTGGCAACATCCTCGTAAATCTTCTTTGCACACCTTCCAGTTTAACTGTCTTTCCTATAACAGGGTGACCAAAACTGTACACAATACTCCAAGTGCAGCCTCACCAACAACTTATACAACTGTAACATAACGTCCCAACTCCTATACTCAGTGCCTCGACCAGTGAAGGTCAACATGCTAAATGCCTTCTTTACCACCTTGTCCACCTGTGACGCCACTATCAACTAACTATGTACTTGTATTGCTAGGTCCCTCTGTTCCACAACACTCCTCAGGACCTGAGATAGTAGGAACTGCCGATGCTGGAGAATGTGAGATAACAAGGTTTCTAGACCCGAACGTCAGCTTTCCTGCTCCTCTGATGCTGCTTGGCCTGCTGTGTTCATCCAGCTCTACACCTTGTTATCTCACTCCTCAGGACCTTACCATTTGCTGTATAAGTCCTACCTTGGTTTGACTTTCCAAATTGCAACGCCTCACTTATCTGCATTGAATTGCATTGGCCAATCCTCAGCCTGCTACCCCACCTGATCAAGATCCCTCTGTAATCTTTGATAACCTTCGCTATCAACGATACCTCCCAATTTTGTAAGTTTGTGGATGATACTGGTCATGCCTCCAGTTCCAGCCTCTTCTACATCGTGAATTTTCATTGTATCAACTTGGACAGCTGTGTCTTCAGCTGCCAAAGACCCTTTCAAGTTCCTACTTTAAACCTCTCTGCCTCGCTCCCTCCTCCTTTAAAGCACTCCTGGAAAAATCTGCTTCTTTGACTAAACATTTGGCAGTGTGTCCTGATATCTTGTGATGACTTGTTTTAAAATTTTTAACCATAATGCTCCTGTGAAACAGCTTGACTTTGTTGCATCCACTATATGAATGCAGATTGTTGTACTTGATGTTAGTCCACTGAACAGCCCAGGTCTCAGCACCAGTATGCCAATGGACCAGATTAGTATCCGTGGAAAACTTGCACTGCACAGACAATGAACTAGCCAGAACCTTCAAGAGAGAAGAGGAAAATCTAATATTGTGCCCCTATTATTTTATCTTTTTAAAATTCCTACTTATCTGTTTTTCAATAATATAATCCAGTGCTCACACTCTTTGGTTGAAAGAAATGATTTGTTGGGATGAGAGCTATCCTCTGATGTGCTTTTCCCTAAGGCACTGTCTATTTTAAAAATGAAAGTGCACTCACTTAGTAGAAGGTCACATCTAGCTGAATTTATCTGGTAGAGCTCTGGGAAGAGAGTTTGGGAAATCCGATTCCTGTTTCTTTTCTCCTGCTGTCCTCTTTCAAAAGCATTGATTCCTGCTAGACTACAGGACTATTGGCATCCAGTACTGCCCTATTAGGGGACAGATTAGTGAGCAGACGTCACTGAATGATTCAGCCAAGGGGCTACCTTGGTAGTTCTTACACCTCTGGGTCAGAAGGTTGTTTAAGCTCCACAAAGTGTTGCCCCAGTGGAAGCAGCTGACCAAGGCTCCAACCTGGGCTGTCCTGTCTGTATACGTTGACCCAGTTACACCCAAATCAGTCAGTTAAAATGCCTCAGGAGGAGCCCTGGGCTCCAGGTTTCACTCCTGTCCGAAGTGCCTGAATCTATCTGTTTTGTCAGCTTTCACCCCTCAGGCTGGTTTTGATTAAAAGCTTTCTGGTTTTCACATTTCAGAAACCTATCTGCTGACAGGATCGGAGGACTGCTAAAGTTGTCTGCACCGTATCTGAAGAGAGCTGGTTTTGTAACTGTGTATGTAAGTAACTACAAATTAAACTCGTCAAATTTTTGTCCTACCCTTGTCCCAGTAAGGATGATGTTTTTTTTTGGTAATTGTAATGAGACCCATACAGTGGCAGTTTATGTTAGATGAGGGAGGAGAATGAATTCCTGGGAGAAATGCGGTTTGGTTAGGACTGGTTGTAGATTATGATAGGAATTTGCGTTACCAAATGAGCGAATCTGCCCTTGACATCTGAAATACCTTCAACAGCAGGCCTGCGTCTGCAAGCTTAGCTTTCAGAGTTTCGCTTAATCAGAGCCTTTTATCTCTTGTATCTTCTTAGTGAATCCGCATTGCACTTTTTACATATCATAAGAACAGGAAAGACTGGGTAATTGACTCCTTTAAGGCTGTTTTTCTCTATTTAGTTACGTCATAGTTTACCTACATCTCAACTTTATTTAGCCACGATTGTTCCTTATCACATATGACACTTAACTAAAATCAACATATTCATCTCAGTCTTGAATATAGAGTGCCCACTGCAGAATATGTACAGGCTGCTTAAGCCTTCCAAATAACATTGTCCTCTTATCTTTCTCTGCTTTGATCAGGAAGGTCATTTCAAATTCCAAGCAATTCAAAACAAATACAATACAATACAGAACATGAACATGCCCTTCAACCTACCAAGCCTGCCCTGATTCCTAAACTTTATTTAGACCCTTTACTTGTTGCCAATACACAGTATCTATCCCCCTGTTTGCCTCCCATTCATGTGTCTATCGAGATGCACCTTAAACATTGCTAACGTGCCTGCTTCCACCACCTCCACTGGCAGTACGTTCCAGGCACCCACCACCTTCTGTGTGAAAATTTTTCTGTGCACTTCTCCCCTAAATTTTCTTCCTTTCAGTTTGAACCTATGCCCTCATGTAGTTGACCTTTCCACTCTGTCAATGCCTCTCATAATTTTGTAGACCTCTACCAGTTTGCCCCTCAGCCTCCGTCTTTCCAGTGAAAACAATCCGAGTTTATCCAACCTCTCCTCATAATTAAAACCCTCCAGACCAGGCAACGTCCTGGTAAATCTCTGCTCCCTCTCCAAAGCATCCATGCCCTTCTGGTAGTGTGGTGACCTCAGAACTGTATGTCACTATTCCAAATGTGACCTAACTACACCTTTACAGCTTGCCAGCTTTTGTAGTTAATGCCCAGGCCAAAGATGGCAATGTGCTGTATGCCTTCTCGACCACGTTACCAACTTGTGTTGTGACTTTGAGGGATCTGTGGACCTGTACTCCCAGATCCCTCTATGTCAGTGCTCCTAAGGGTTCTGCCATTAATTGTATAATTTGCATCTGAACTAGATCTTCCAAAATACATCATCTTGTATTTGTCCAGATTAAACTCCATCTGCCATTTCTCTGCCCAAATTTGCAATCTGTCTATATCCCGTTGTATCTTTTGACAGTTCTCCTCGCGATCTGCAACTCTGCCAATTTTGGTGTCATCCACAAACTTACTAATCAGACCACCTACACTTTCCTGCAGGTCATATATTACAAACAACTAAAGTCCTAACACTGATCCCTGCAGAACACCCACCAATTACTGATCTCCATTCTGGAAAGCACCCTTCCATCACTACCATCTGTCTTCTATGACCAAGCCAATTTTGTATCCATCTAACCAGCTCACCCCGGATCCTGTGAGACTCTACCTTTTGTAGCCGCCTGCCATGAGGTACCTTGTCAAATGCCTTACTAAAGTCCATATAGACAATGTCCACTGCCCTTCCCTCATCAATCATTCTCGTCACCACGTCAAAAAATTCAATCATGTTAGTGAGACATGACCTTCCCCGCACAAACCCATGCTGCCTATCACTAACAAGTCCATCCGCTTCCAAATGTGAATAAGTCCTTTCTCTCAGTATCTTCTCAACAGCTTCCTCACCCACTGATGTCAGGCTCAACAGCCTGTAGTTACCTGGATTATCTCTGTTTCCCTTCTTAAACAAAGGAACAACATTGACCATTCTCCAGTCCTCCAGAACCTCGCCTGAGGCTAAATAGGATGCAAAGGTATCTGTTAATGCCCCAGCTGCTTCCTCCCTTGCCTCCCCATAGTATTCTGGGATAGATCCTGTCTGGCCTTGGGGACTTGACTACCTTGATGTGTTTCAAGACACCCAGCGTTCCCTCCTTCATTATGTTGACCTGCCCAAGATTATTCACACACCTTTCCCTAATCTCAACATTTCTCATGTCCCCTTTTTTTGGTGAATACCAATGTAAAGTACTCATTAAGTATCTCATCTATTTTGTCCAGTTTCCACATGTAACTTCCCTCCTTTATCCCTGAGTGGGTCTACTGTTTCCATAGCTACCCTCTTGCTCCTAATATATGGATAAAAGGCCTTGGGATTCTCCTTAACCTTGCTGGCCAAGGACATTTCATAGCCCCTTTTAACCCTCCTAAGTTCCCTTCCTACTTTCTCTGTATTCTTCTTGGACTTTGACCAGTTTTTAGTTGACTAGATCTTAGGTATGCTTCCTTTTTGATTGATTAATCTGATAATTTCCCCTGTCATCCAAGGTTCCCACCATTCCTGTCCTTCATTTTCACAGGAACATGTCTGTCTTGCACTGTAATCAACTGGTATTTTAAAAAATTCCCACATCAGAGATGTGGATTTACCCTCAACAGCTGCTCCCAATCCACATTCTCCAATTCTTGGCTAAATTGGCTTTCCCCCAATTTAACGCCTTCATCAGACGTCCACTGTTTCCTTAACCATAAGTATCTGAAATCCGAAGGAACTGTTCCCAAAACGTTCCCCCACTGAAACTTTGATCACTTGGTCGGGCTCATTTCCCAATACTAGGTCCAGTATCTCCCCTCCCTCATTGGACTAGCTATGTACTGTTTCAAAAATTCCTGCTGGACATAGCTAACAAATTGCTCCCCGTCCAAACTCCTCGCAGTAAATGAGTCCCAGTCAATATGGGGGAAGTTAAAACCACAATAACCCCATTATTTTCACATCTTTCCAAAATCTGACTTGATGTCTCTTCCTCTGTCTCCTGCTGGCAGCTGGAAGACCTGTAGTACAATCCCAGCATGTATTGTACCTGTTGAGGTTGGTTGGCTTGCTGAGCTGGTTTGTTGTTCCGCAGACATTTCGTTACCGTACTTGGTAACATCCTCAGTGCAGCCTCTGATGAAGCGTCGGTGTGTTTTCCCGCCTGGTTTTTAAACTCTGGGGTCCATTGCGATGGATTGCCTCACTTCCGGGTTTCCTCCGTAGTGGAATGTGTATGGGGTCGAGTTCAATGTGTTTATTAATAGCATGCTTCGTGGAGTGCCATGCTCCATGTGGACAAGGAGAACCACAACTTCAACTGGGACAACACCAAGATCCTGGGACAGGCTAGGCAGAGACAAGCACGAGAATTCCTGGAAGCATGGCACTCCACGAAGCATGCTATTAATAAACACATTGAACTCGACCCCATATACAGTCCACTACGGAGGAAACCCGGCAGTGAGGCAATCCATCGCAACGGACCCCAGAGTTTAAAAACCAGGCGGGAAAACACACCGACACTTCATCAGAGGCTGCACTGAGGATGTTACCAAGCACGGTAACGAAACATCTGCGGAACAACAAACCAGCTCGGCAAGCCAACCAACCTCAACACCCACAACCCGAGCTACAGATCTACTCCAAAACCTTAGATGTATTGTACCCTTCTTATTCCTGAGCTGTACCCATAATGCCTTGTTGCCAGAGCCCCCCCGCCCCCAGGGTGTCCTCCCTCAATACAGCTTCTTCCTCTGTCTCGTCCAAAATGTCGATATCCTGAAACATTAAGCTGCCAATCCTGTCCTCCTTTCAGCCATGTCTCTGTGATAGCAACAACATCATAATTATATGCATTAATCCAGGCTCTAAGTTCATCCATTTTAGTTGTTCTACTTCTTGCATTGAAAGCAAATACAGTTCAAGCCTCCAGTTCCACTGAGCTCAGTAGCGCCTCCCTGACTGCTGGTCCTGTTAGCTATATTTACCTTAGTCTCGAGCTCTTCCCCACTCTCTATACTTACTGACTTGCTGCGCTGGTTCCCATCCCACTGTGGCATCTTTCAATGCACATGAAGTCAAAGTGCATTCACACTGAAATAAATCTTTCTTCCTTCTCTCAAGAAGCAAGTTGCTTCTCAAAGGTATTTTTGATGCTTGTACCCATTCAGTCTCCCTAAGGATCTCCCAGTGCTGCATTATATCAGACTCCTGTCAACTTGCTTCATCTGAGCAGGGATGAATTTGTTTCCTGTTGACTCATGGACCTGGAGTGCTACTGCCTCTGTTATTGTTCTTCAATATTCTCTGAAAAACACCAATGATGGCTCTCTGCTTTTGCTTTAATTGCTTCCCTTGTTTTGTTCTGTCCTTGCTGCTATGTAGCAGGAATATGGTAGATATCAACTGAATGATTCAGTTCCTTATTGCCTGACTCTTCCATGTATCTTGGCTCTCATGGGTTCAGGGAGCTGTTTTTATCTGTGGACATCTGCTTCAGGCCTCATTGCTGTCCTCTAATTCCACTTGGAGACCTCTGCATAGTGATTGAATATGATCTGCTCCTCGCTGATATCCCTGTCTCCCACCATTACCATTCCCTATCTGTGCCCACTAGAACTCAGCAGAGACCATACATAGTTGTATGACTCTCTGTCTTTACCAAATCAGCCACTGGGCAGGATTGAACTGACGCTGTTTTCTCTCACTATTCCTCTTCTAAAGTAAACAATACTCCTTCACCAGAACTGCCAAACAGGGGCATCAGCATCGAGAAACTTTAATGGTTTGGTTAGTATTTCAGTGTAACTGTTGTGAAACTGGGAGAATTGGAATAGAGTGAGTTCTTAGATATGTTACAACAACAGAAAAGATTAGATTCACATTGCTGCAGCAAATAGATTTATTTGGTGAATATGCCATAAGATCCCAAGGGATAAG